CCCATTAGTTGAACCTCAGATTCAGGAGGAACAACGCGGATTCCATCCCAGACATGGAACAATGGATCAGCTCTTTGCTCTCTTGCAGATACTTGAGGGGTCATGGGAGTTTGCTAATCGGGTCTACCTTTGTTTTGTAGACCTGGAGAAGGCATATGACCACGTTCCCCAAGATGTCTTGTGGGAAGTGCTGTGGGAGTATGAAGACCCAGTGCTGCTTTTGCGTGCTATCCAGTCCCTCTATTCTCAGAGTGAGAGTTGTATTCGGATTCTTGGCATTAAGTAGAGTTCATTCAAGGTGGGTATTGGACTCTGCCAGGGGTGTTTCTTGTCCTCACTTTTGTTCGTGATTTTCATGCACAAGATATCAAGGTGCAGCCAAGCCATAGAGTGCATCCGGTTTGGGGATTCGGAGGTGGCACCTCTGCTGTTTGCAAATGATGTTGTCCTTCTTGCTTCTTCAGACTGTGATCTCCAACGCGCACTCAAACATTTCACTGCTGAATGTGAAGCGGCTGGGATGAGAATCAGCACCTCCAAATCAGAGGTCATAGTCCTTTTCTGGAAGAAAGTGGACTGCTCTCTCCAGGTGAGGGGAGATCAGCTGCCCTTAGTGGATGAGTTCAAGTATCTAGGAATCTTGTTCATAAGTGATGGCAAGCAGGAGCATGAGATCAACCAGCGGATTGGTGTGGTGATGCAGGCACTGTACCAATCCATGGTGGTGAAGCAGGAGTAGAGTTCTTGGACGAAGCTCTCTGTTTACAGGTCACTCTACATCCCCATCCTCACCTATGGTCATGAACTTTGGGTAATGACCGAAAGGACGAGATTGCGGGAACAAGTGGTAGAAATGAGGTTTCTTTGCAGGGTGGGCTTACTCTCCGAGATAGAGTGAGGAGCTCAGCTACTCAGGAGAGCCTCAGAGTAGAGCCACTACTCCTCCGGATCGAGAGAAGCCAGTTGAGATAGTTCGGGCATCTGATAAAGATACCCCTTGGGAGGCTTCCGTTGGAACTGTACCAGGAATGTCCTACTATGCAGAGGCCCCGAGGCTGACCCAGGACATGCTCGAGTGATTGTATTTCCCGGCTGGCCTGGGAACGCTGGGGAATCTCCCAGGAGGACCTGGAATCTGTTGTGGAGGAAAAGGAAGTCTGGTCCTACCTATTCTCCATGCTGCCATCATGACTGTCGCCAGGATAAAGCAGCATAAAGGAAGGAGAAGGAAAAGAAGAGCTAGCATAAAAGTGTATTGATTAATATAGCAAGGGGGTAGCTTGATAGACAGATTACTCTAGAATCACAGTTTGAGCTCAATATGCAGTCTCACCTCTGTAAATTCGGGCATACATCCTCATTCATTTGTATGAGAGATTCCCATGACTAATGGGAGCTCCATGTACACAGAGAGAGGAAAATATATATTTGATTGTACAGTCCTTGTCTCATCTCCATTGGGGGCAGGGAGAAAGATACCAAAATCATAAAAATACATTCCCAGTACGCTAACACTTCAGTGACCCAAACTTCAATCCTCTGAAATTCCTTGTTATCGAAAACTGGGACAGACTCCTCAAACACCTGTTAAATCAGTGGAAAATTAATTCAGTTACCTGACATTCTGAATTACCTTAACATACACTCATGGTTGCACTGTAAAGTTACTAGGTCAAATTACATGGGTAATTTCATTCCATTTTTTCCATTCGGAAAAAGAATATTTTTTTCTGTTAAAAAAGTCCAGGATGCAGAGTCTATTGACAGTCTTTCCCCTCTTAGAAGGACTGTTTTCTACTCTCCTCTTTAACAAAGATTACTAGATTAATTTACAGATGGTGAAATCATCACATAAAATATTCCTAGGACAAGTTGTCCAGTGATTAAACTTGATGGTGTTAATAGTTTGATTCTGCAGATCACATGTAAATCACAGGAGACTCAAAATTCCAAGAGTCAAGGTGAAATGGAGCTGTAGCTGAGAAGGAATAAAAAGTACAGAAGTCAGATTTGGAAAAGACCTATTGTGTCATCTAGTCAATCACCCTCATACTACAAGATTTACAAGTACATTGTTCACTCTTTTTAAATATAAAAAGTAATGGGTTTTCTCCACTTCCCTTGGAACACAATTTCACAGCCTACCATATTTCTGCATTGTAAAATTATGTGCGGATTTTCAGCCTTAATTTCCCAATTCCTTACGAGTAAAACTCAATGCCCCAAAATGATGCACATACGTTGCCCACCTCCCAACCCTAACTACACCTCTAAATCATTTTAGAGGGTTTGTACTGTTGATGAGTTTTTATAAACACACATTTTGTAGACGAATTTTGTGGTCAGAATTAAGAGTCTTTTTTGTTTGGTAAATCATACCAACCTCACAGCTCTTTGGAAACCTACAGCACTATCTGAATAATAAATTGCAGGGTAAGCTGTGCAAGCTTCTTGCTGTCCTGCCCACCTGCTCACTCTCTACCACTGCTCTCTTGCTGCGATCTTTAGAAATGACACCTGAACAGGAAAGACTCCTGAGTTAGAGAAGAGGGGAGGACAATGACGATAATGACCTCAGCAGTTGGGAAGGAGCAGAGGAAGGATCCCTGAAGCTGAGGCGTAGGGAGGAAATGGCGCAGTAGGCTGTGGGGCAGGATAAACATGGGGGTTAGCACAGTTGGGAAAAAGGAAGTATCTGGAAGGCAACAGGGAATAGACAGCTGGACATGCCTGTCTGAGGATATATACACTTATTTTGTTCGGGGGGATGGGAGTGCAACTTGGGTGGGATCCAAAGCTCTGGTTAACCTTAATCCGGCTCAGAAATTGACTTCCAAAGCACACCATTGTTTGCCAAAATTTTCTTTTAGACAATCCCTGCATCAAATTTAAGTAACTGTCTCATCAAGTGTTGGCCATCCACGCACACATCTTCCCAGGGCTCAAAACAGCAGAATCAATAAAGCCTTGACCAGTGAATTATGGTATGAAGAGAATTACTTGTGCTGACACCAAAATAAATGGTTGCCTCTTGTTATAAAGAGGAAAAGCAGATTCCTCTAGGTGCATGTTACATCTTTACTGTGGGCCTGTGCTATAACACTGATTAATTAGCTTTGACATACACTGGACAGCGTGAACATGCTTATGACTGATCCAGCCCACCTCTCCAAGCAACAATTTCAGTGATGTAAGTACTGCAACAGAATAAGTAGCATATGGAAATTAAATAAAGCAATGGAATGATATTTCTAGTAGATTTTAAAATCTTAATGACTCCCTACTGAAATCCAATTATTGGTATCACGCACTGCAGTTCATTACAACATTATTACAATATTTGTGCTGTGAAGGTACCTTTAGGCATGTATATGTGGGTTTTTCCACTGCCTTGCCAGACCTTGACCAAGCATTATGCCATGCGCTCTCAATGCTCAAGGCAACGACTCACAAATCTGAGCACAGTTGACAGTTTTCCCCGCAACTAACCACTCTGTACCAGTCACTAGAGGATGTATGTGGACATTGCAGCTGTACCCTCAACCCAGAGGCTGAGTGTCACCTTTATAATTAGATCAGCCACTGCTGGAACGATTGGTGAGAAGTCAAGGTTTGCTTAAACCGAGGTTTCCTGTGCTTCTCTGTCTTCTAGGCTATTGGGCTGGTCCTCTAGAAGACGTGCATGTATTTTAATGGATATAAGTCATAAAACTTGTTCTTTACTTTAAACATGTTTGACATACATCTTTGATAGAAATAGTAGAGGGATTATTAAACACAGTGAAAAATCACTTGTATAACATAGTAGAAATTTTATTAAAATATTCAAAAATTAAAACCATTAACACATTTTATTTGACAATTTATCCTCTATCACGTATGTAATATATTATGCTAGAGAGAAGCATTTCATGTAGTACAGAGGCAATATAATTTACCACTAAATTTCATTTTAATGGGATGTTTATCTAGTTAATCCAAAATACATTTGCTCTTAGTTTTTTTTAAAATCTATATTAAATGCTTCACCATAACAAATGGAACAAAGAGGCTGTCAGTATGTCTCACGGGGGGAGGAAGGGGTGGCGACATAGGGAAAGGAACCAAATATCCAGAAAAATGTAAGAGTGGGGGTCTTAATATCTTCTATAACAATGATTACTTTTCAAAGGTATTTCTAGTTCTTTGCCCTTATGATGTATCCTAAGCCTTTCACATTATAAATTAACACATTGAACGAATATTTTAATTATATATAGTAAATCCTGTATCTAGGAAGTTGATTTCCACTTCTGTTAGCTTGGGAACCTGATTCGTAAATGGGAACAGATGAAAAACATCCATCTTTATTTAAAAAAAAAAAAAAAAAAAGCAAACACTATATGGATGTCAGCAAAGCAAAAGTAAATAAGTCTAATACTTAAGAAAGCCTCAGGTAAGGATCTATCAAATTCATCTTTGAATCTGTTGCATGAGTCTGCAGTTAAAAAGCACATTACACAAATTTATATATATAAATAAATAAAACTAAAACTGATGAAAATTGGCTTACAATAATAAAACAATATATAGGATATAGGAGGGCCTTTAAAACTTACTCAAGTATTAACATTGTCAATACCATCTATTAGCAACTGCACACTGTTGATTAACAGCCTTTAAAAAAAAAAAGGCTTAATTACTGCATGTGTTTACTTATTAGTCCTGAGCATGAATATCACTTTGAAAAATACAGCCACACTGGAATTCTATGTCTACTGTATATTTAATCATTAGAATATTTAAATAATGCTAAGTAACTGAGTTTCAATGTTATTACTCTTTCTAGCAGAGAACACACCCATCAGCATCCAGCATAAACAACAGCATCCTGATTCTAGCATCTTCTTTATTTCTTAAAATCAAAACCTTTACCACTCCAAATGCAGCAGGAAGATACTCACAATGTAAAATCATTGAAAATAAAGACATTTCAGCACACTGTTTATATAGGGAGTTACCTTTTTTCCTTTCTTTTTCCTGTGAGCCGGTTTAGCATTTTTTTCCTTTGCTTCCTCACTCATTTTTCAGCAGGTAAATACAAGAGGGAGAAAAGAAGATCACTGCTTATATTCCAACGTCCAAAGCCACTGCAAATATTCACAGCATTGAAACCAAAGTCCATCTGCTGACGTTTCTCAGACAAGTAACAGAATAACTGCTGTTTAAACACAGCCCCTGCTCCTGCAAAGCCTTGAATTGCTCACAGCCTTGCTCTGTTTTCGTCAAAAACAAGCTGGGAGTTCTTCACATCAAATATTCTATTTCTCTTTAAAAAAAAAATCATTAATTTCCTCTCTCATTTTAAACTAATCATTACCCCTGAGATAAGATCTTGACAAGACTTTTTCGCTTGTTCATCCACAGTGTTTCCAGCCTCTAAATGGTGTTGATGAGCCACACACAGAAATTAGCTGCAGACTGCTGACAAATCTTAGAAGCTTTCACCAATAGATGATTTGCCCTTTCTTGCAGAAGGGAAAACTGAGCGTAAATTACTCCTATTGCTGATAGCATACACAACACATGTGTTGAATGCATCAGAGCATACCAGAAAAGGAAGCCGCCAAGAGAGTGATAAAAGCTCAGGTTACTGGATCTTCAAGCCACTCCCAGACTGATTCAAACAATAAAAGGCACAAAACATTGCTGAAGAAATTGCTAGATAAATGTTTACATTTCCCAGTGCTACATGTCCCAGTCCAGGAGACTTGCAAATGGCCAATCTGAACATTAAAATTTATAATATTATTAATTAATTACATAAAACCACCACCAATATTTCCATAAAATATATATTTACAACTATCACTGTCTCTAATAGCTCACCCTCCCTGTATGCCTGTTCATATGACTGGATTTATAAAACCATTTTATTAATGTAGATCTCTATTTGACTGAAATGTTTCATGCCTCATGTGTGCATAAATCTATAGAAGATTTCAGATCATGTTTCCACACACTGCTGAACCACTCAGAAGAATATTTTGGCTAGATCTGTATGGATCTTACGTGGAGAGCCAAAAAAAGGGTGGAGACTTCATTATACCACCTCTCCTCTCTCTGTGCCCACTAAGTCCTGTTCTGCATGACCCATACACGACTAAGTGGCCATGAAAGCATTCATTCAAGATTTGTCTAAATTTTACCATTTGCTGCATGTAAAATGGCACATCCCTTTTGATATGAGCAGTATCTCTATTATGTCTAGCACTTCCCAGTTTTGACTCTTGCTGTCATGAAAAGATATGTTCAGAGATTATATGGTGGCCTATTTACCACATTCGTATCCCTTTGTTCAGCTGACAGTGTGCTAGTTCACACATTCTATAGGAATTCTGACCACATCAGAGGTGCCAAGTGACAATGAGTTTTGACAGGCAGCCTGCATATTGCTGCAAATGCTCCTTCTTCCGTTAACATCCAAATCCTTAGCAACTCTCCCTTTCTTGCTCCAGCAGCTCAGCAGCATGGAAATGCCCACGACCAACATCCTGTCTACCATAAACAATGCATAAATGATCTGGAAAGAGGGGTAAACAGTGAGATGGCAAAGTTTGCAGACAATACAAAATTACTCAAGATAGTTAAGTCCAAAGATGACTGCAAAGAGCTGCAAAGGAACCTCACAAAAATAGGTGCCTGGATGACAGAATGGCAGATGAAATTCAGTGTCGATAAATGCAAAATATGCATGTTGGAAAACATAATCCCAACTATACATACAAAATGAGGGGGTCTAAATTAGCTCTTACCACTCAAGAAGAGATCTCAGGAGTTATAGTGGATAGTTCTCTGAAAACATCAACCCAATGTGCAGTGGCAGTCAAAAAAGCTAACAATGTTAGGAACCATTAAGAAATGGATAGATAAGATGACAGAAAATATCATAATGCCACTATAGAAATGCATGGTACGTCCACACCTTGAATAGTGCATTCAGTTCTGGTCACCCCATTTCAACAAAGATATATTAGAATTGGACAAGGTACATAGAAGGGCAACAAAAATTATTAGCGGTATGGAACAGCTGCCGTATGAGAAGAGATTAAAAAGACTTGGACTATTCACCTTAGAAAAGAGATGACTAAGGGGAAATATGATAGAGATCTATAAAATCATGAATGGTGCAGAGTATGTAAATAAGGAAATGTTATTTACCACTTCCCATAAACACAAGAACCAGGGATTACCCAATTAAATTAATAGGCAGCAGGTTTAAAACAAACATAAGGAAGTGCTTTTTCACAGAACACAGTCAAACCATGGAACTCATTGCCACTGAATAAAGTATAACTGGATTCCAAAAAGAATTAGATAAATTCATGGAGGTTAGGTCTATTGGTTACTAGACAAGATGGTCAGGGACACCACCTCTGACTCTGGGTGCCCCTAAATATCTACTGCCAGAAGCTGGAACTAGATGAGGGGGAATGGATCACTCAATGAATGTTCCATTCATTCCCACAGAAGAAAAGTTACTGGGCAAGATGGACCATTGGTCTGACCCAGCATGGCCATTCATATGTTCTTAAGCAAAAGATACTTTTATCTCTGAGGGAGATTGATTACACCCTATTTGCCTCAAAGCTTTCTCCCCTGTGTCCAATAATGATTTTTCTGCATGTTCACAATAGTTACTTCTAATATGCCATCACGTGTGGGCTCCCTCTTATCTGTGGGCAGCACGTTCTCAGACTTAGAATCTGATTGCACTGCAAACATCATCACCTGAACCGCAGCTTCCATGCAAGTTGGGAAACTAATGCTCTGTACCAAACACATGGATTTTGACATTTTGATTACGAACAGTGCCCTAAACACTGTAGAGCTTAACTAAAAACACAAGCAAGGGCCTACTGATAAGATTTATCTTCAAGGCTGCATGCTGGAAGTCACTGATGTATGATAAGAGTTATATTTATATATATTTTTATAGAACATGTAAAAAGCTTTTGGAAATTTCCAAAACCTGATATTTCATCTTCAATCGGTTAATTTCTTAATGGCTGGTTCTGTGGAGGAACAGCTCTTCCTGAATTCCTGTTCTTGTGTAGATGTTACATTATAAACTGACAACTATCACGGGATAGCCATAAACTGAAGTGCTCTTTGCTGGTTAGTGGGGGAGGGGAACAGTGCTTAAAACATAAAATAATGCTATAGTCTATTCCATATGTAAATTATAAAAACTCATTTCTGGAAATAGACTATTTTGCTTTGTCTAACAGTCCCACAGACACTGGTTCAAACATATCCTCTTACAAAAAAGAAATAAAGCATTGAAAAAGTAAAATTTTGACTAATAAAATGACATTTAATTGTGACAGATTGTCAATATAACAAGCTCTCTGTGAAGAAAATTGGTTGGAAGTCACTTTAACTAAAGATTGCAACACTTAATATTAGCCCTCATTATGAAATAAAAAAAATAACATTCCAGGGCAACCCTAATTAGTCTTAAGGAATAAAGCATGTTGAAGTGCTTTGCTGGATTGAGGCCTAAGGGCGTAAAACCATGCCCTCTTTAGGTAAAGCCTGCAGGAAGGCAAAAGTTAAGTGTCCTTAAGACTGCAAAGTTTCCTATGAATCCAGATCATTTGGTCAGGATGGTAGGGGTTTTGGGCTCCTGAGAGGTATGGATTCCTGAGACCTTCCCAATTACAGATCCCAAGGTATCTTCAGAAGACCAGTACATTCATGATACCATGTAGCTCCCACCCTCCACATGCTCCATGGCAGCATGTCTCACTCAGGAACCCTACTCTCATTCATTCCCACCCATTCCTGAGCTAAAAACCTTCTGGGCACAGGGATGTTTAAGAGCATGTAGGAGGAGTCCGCATCTGAGACAAGGCCAGAAGAATCTGCCAATCACCACAGGCTAAGAGGGGAATGATAAGAGCCCTTCCTCGCTCTTTCCTCACCCACCAAACTACCCTTTCGCCCCTCAGTCCATGGAGATCCAATTGCACAGATATTAAATATATGGGCTTCCTCAAGATTAGTTGGGTATGATGCAGTTTAGACATCAACATTTGGACTTTTTTAATGCGGTTTTCCCTGATCTGCACATACCAGCGAAGCACAGCCCATGATCTTTTACTAAGACAATTTGCTAAGTGTTTTATTACAGGTAAAACCACTAACACCACAGAAGGATGAGCTAAGTATTAGAAACAAAAATATTAGCAATATCCAAGAAGAATAAAGTTTTCTTGGGAAATGTCTCTCCCTCATGCTCCTTACAATTCACTTCTTTTGTAGAGGTTACAAACGTTAACCTCGGATAGTAAAACTGCTGTCAGTTAATGGTTGACACCAATCCATCGGTCACACAGATATTTTTAAGACTCTAAGTTAGTGCTATCCTCTTGATCTGCCAGTATTTTGCATAGTCTATCCTCATATGCCTGATCTCAAGAAGTCAATCTGGACTACTTGTAAGAATAAAGGTTTGCCTTCAGCTGTAAGCTCCTTTACATAGAACCCTTGGTCCTGATTCTCACTTCCACCATATTTATGCTTGGGCAGTAAAATGGGGGGCGGGGGAGGGTTTGCCATTAAGCCACCTTTACATGCCTCAGAGTGGTGCAGCCTGTGCACCTGCCCAGTTCCCAGTGTAAGTTACAGTAGCCCTGAGGCTATGCTAATCTATAATCTGCTTCCCATGGTTCCCTATGGGTTCTGGGAAGCACAGAATAGCTGTAGAAGTGTGATGTGACAATGCCCTGCCTTGGCGTACCCTGGGGGCTGGAAGCAGTGTTCATGCACAGCACTTATGCTAGCAAAGTGCCTTGCACAGGGTGGGTGTTCTTGGGGCCACTTCCACTCCCCGTCATACTGCCAGAAAGGTATAAAAGAGCCATAGTGTAACTGAGAACTAGGTGTCCAGCACCATGTAGTCATCTGTGCCTTAATGAGCCAAGCACACTAGCGGTATTTAAATAATGCCATTAGCGAAAAACATAAAATAGGAAACAAGTAACTGACAAAAATAATGGAAATTCAGGAAGATTAAAATGTCATACTTATACAGAAAACATTTGAGAGGAGTAAAAGCTTTTAAACTTTTCAAAGAAAATGAAGAGTACTCTCACAGTACATACTGAGTATTACTTTCAAAACCACTAAAGTAACATTACAATTCAGAAAGTTTCTAGAGGGATTTAAATACATTGCAATACTGCTTTCATCAAGGGAGCATTTGGATTGATTAGAAAACATTCTGAACAGTTACTAGTATGGACCATCCACAATGTTAACCCATCATTCCCTGCTCATGCCAACTGGGTTATTTTTATATATATATATACACATATACATATACACACACATACACAAACTTCCACAAGGAAATAAAATACATGTCTATGTCTTGTAGGGGATTATATGTTTTTTGATATACTCTAACATAAGAAAAATGTACCAAAGTATAATACTTAGCATTGCTGAGATCTGAGGAATCAAAGGCTGTAGTGTCATGCTTTAGAAATCTCAAGACTGTGATTGGATCACATTAGCAGCCACACCTCTTCCCATAA